CATAGATTAGCGTGGGTGGGGATCTTGGGTGAGACTATGGGTTCATATATGAGCGTGGGTGGGGGTCTTGGGTGAGACTATGGGTTGATGTTTGAGCGTGGGTAACCGTTCATTGGCTCTTTTTTGGGGCGGGCGCCTGGATGTAGGTGGCTGGAATCAATGATCGGCGGATCTGCGTCCTCAGTGGTGGATTTTATGTAGGACAGGTGTTCAGTTCTTGTCGAGCTGTTCATAATGCAGTATAAAGCTGATGGGGGTTTGGAATGGCTAGGAGTGGTGTCAGAAGACAGTTGAAATGGCTAGGTGTTCCAACTTTTATGTAACTGCAACTGATCTTAGGAGTAATAAAAGAACGACGAATAAATTATCGTATGTATTACCGTCGCTAAATGTACTGAAGGCGAAGGACAGAGATATCGAAAGATACATTCACTAGACTCAGACGTGTCAAATGTAATCCTAATTGATTGAGTTAAACCTGTTCAATATATGGAAATTTGACAAAGGCAAAGAAAAAAACCGACACGAGTAAGTGATGATTGTTGGTGGTGGTCGTGGTAAATTTGTATTATTGGTAAAAGTATTCTTTTGTAGTTGAGTGTTTGTTCCGGTTGGACTCATAAATGGGAGTTACAGATGCCTTTTCGCGGAGTTGCCTATTTCTGGATGGAATGGCGATTGGTCTTGTGGTAGTGAAGTTGATGGGCAGAGGTTTGCGGATGAGGATGCCTGGAAAGTGGGATTGACTTAGGGCACACTAAGATTGCTGTTTGACGTTCTATATTTGTTACTCTTGTGTGTGCTTCGTGGTGCATTTGATATGTTGTGTATGGTTGCGATGTTGTTCGATTGAAGTGGCCCTAGTGCTTATTGTATTGCGTCATCCTTTGATTCTTCTTATTCCCTCGACTGTAAGGACGGCCATATGAAATAGAATCGTTTGTTTGTTGGTGGCAAAACGTGGGCGACGGTGGCCGAAGGTCGGAGATGTGGCCAATGGTGTGTGCAGGGTGACACGATGTGGCCCTTCATGGCCACGGATGTGGGCGAGGGTCAACGGTCAAGAGTGAAAGATTAAAAATCGTTTTTCTCGAAATATTTGCCATTTGAAGAGTAGTCTTTTCCGATCGAACATATGGTCGACGGAAGAGCAGATTTATAGCTTCGAGATATAACTTCAGGCTTCAACTGAGAATTT